TGGGCCCCACGGTGGGAAACAAGGCCCAGGACCCCTCTGAGGAGATCGGCTGGGCGGAGCGCAGGACTCAGCGCCACACTGCACCCCCGCCCCCACCCCGTGCGGGGAGCCCTGCGCCCCTCGGAGCCGGAGCCGGAGCCGCGCCCACGTCACTCAGCTCTGCCCTCCTGCCCGCACACGGCAGCTGCCCTGGGCAGGCCGCGGGCCAGAGGCCGCATGAGCTGGGGTGACCACAGGCCTGTGAGGCAGGCAGGCAGGCAGGGGAGTGAGGAGGGAGCATCAGTGGGGGTGCCATGGAGGGCCGCAGCCGCAGAGGGGGGCGGGGAGGGAGCAGAGGTTCTGGCAGCGCTGCGGGACTGCAGAGTGCGGTCCTCTGCGCAGGGGCAGGCTGAGCTGGTGCCCGGTGGGGCGCACTGGAGGGGCCAGTGCCTGGGAGCCCAGGGCGAGTCGGGCGCTGCACGCACCGCGCACGTGTCCAGCAGGAGCACCAAATGCGCACTGCTCTTTCCCGCCCCGGCGAATGGCCCCCATGGCCCCCTCTTCCGAGAGGCCCCCCAGGGGGAGCCTGCCCGAGCAGGCGTGGACAGGGGAGCTGAGCCCCCGCCACCTGCCTGCGGGCGCCGGCCCCTTATCTAGGCGGCGGGGGCGGGGCCAGGCGCACTGAGCGCGTCCTGATTGGCCAGACGGGCGTCACGCGCTCCCCAGCTGGTGGGTCTCCATCGTGGGCGTGGCTGGGGAGTGGCGGGCAGGTGACTAAGTGCGGAAAGGAAGGCGCGGACGCGTCCTGGGGCAGGTCACCGGGACTCAAGCAACAGACACGGCTGCGTCCGAGCCACCTTTACTCCTGAGCCGTGGGGGCGGCGCCCGCGCCCTGCAACTCTAGGAAAACTGCAGGGGGCGGGAGGACAGGCCACACACACCTCCGGGGACAGCGGGGCTGCCCCAGACGCAGGGACACTTGCGCTGCAACGGCTCACAGGCGCCGGCCCTTCGTCTTCCAAATAAACCATGAGCCTTCGGGCAACGCCCGGGGAGGGTCCTGCTGCCGGGGTTGTGGGGCGGTCGGTCTCCTGCCTGGCGGGTCCCGGGCCGGCCCGCGGCCCTCACAGGTAGAAGAGCGAGTTGGCCAGCTCCAGGCTGGGCTCCTTGTGGATGCTCTGCGCCACCAGGAAGGTCAGCTTGCGGGCGTACTGGCAGGGGGCCGGACAGCCGATCGCGCCCTGGGGACAGTGGACGGGGTGACTGGGGCCCTCGGCGCAGCCGCCCTCCCCGGGGCTTGGGGCTGTCCGTGGCCGCCACGGGACAGTCCGTGGGCCACCGTGGCTCCGTGCAGTCAGAGCAGCTGCCCCCGGACTCTCACGGAGCCTGTGCCACGGCCCGTGGCCCCCGCCTGGCTCCGGGCGCAGGGGCCCAGA